ATAAGATTCCCACGCATTAAGATGTTGAGGTTTTATAATTTATTTTAAAAGTTTAAGGTTTCCCAGATTGAAAATATGTCTTGTTAATACTATGGCTAGCAAGGGTTGACTTTACTTTACTGACATATTACTACCACTGAGTTCAGGAAAACTAGAGTTCTATCATAGTTGTGTGGAATGTGAATTTAATTCTAACTTTAAATTAATAAAACAACAAAAAACTAATTTTAATCATATAACAATCAATTATTACAGTGCTAATCTAATGGTGATTAAATAATCTACATTCAAATACCAGTATCCTCTCCAACTACCAGAAAAACAATTCAACTACTTGAGGCCTAAACAGATTAACGGAATCATATATAGCCTATACTGTAGTATCAAAAATATTTTAAGTATTGCCACCATTGCAACTGTCGGCTACTCTTTAACCACTTGAAAACACCCATAATCAACAAGCGCAGATAGCTCAGGAGGTAAGGTAAGAGGCTCACAAGGCGAAGGTACCAAGTTCGAAACCCGTCTGGGCCAAAAACTTTTTTCTCGTTTTTTTCTTCAAAATTTGTGTTTATTAACTATTTAATCAATTTACTAAACTTATAATTAAGCTTTTCATACTAAATCTATATTATTTTGTGTTTTTTATGTTCAGGCCCAGACCACACTTTATCCCAGGGACATCCCATAGTAGTCCCATATGTCCTGAGAATGTCCTGAGGACTACCCTGGGATGACCTCGGATGTCCCACGGATATGCGTGTGAGCTTATCCGTAGGACATCCCCGGGCGGGGACATTAGGCATTCCTGTGGATATCCTGTGATATCCCAAGTTGACCATAGGACCACTATGGGATATCTTGCATATCCTGTCGCAATATCCGTGGGATGTCCTGAGGAGAAAGTGTGCTGTCTGGGATTGGCACGGGCAGGACTGGAAGTAAAATGAATCAGTTCAGGTTATGACGGACCGACGTGGTCTCTGGATTGTCGTCTGTTTTGTGCGTTTTCAACAGCTGATATTGGACTATTGTTGTAGTGACTGAGATGAGTGTTGAAAATATAATGGGATTCATAATTAATTGAGTGTTTTCACTCAAAAACTGTGTGCTGTCCCTAGTTTTATTTATTTATATACCGGTATTCGGTATTCCAAACTCTTTCAAAGTATTTAACAAATTTCTTTTCACGCAGTAATGTAGAATTTCGAGACCATCATTTATATCCAGCATAAAAATTGGTTATTATTGTCAATAGTTTTGAATGGAAAACTCTAGTTATTTGTACAACTAGTGAGAAAAATGAGCAATTGACTCACTCGAGAGAAATCCTTACTCACGAGCCGTAGGCGAGTGAGGAATGGTTTCTCGAGTGAGGCAATTGTACTTTGAACTCGAGTTGCACATTATACTTTTCCTACAGTTACCATAAAACAAATAAATTTGTGAAGAAACATAACCTATTTTTACACAGAAGTGAACTTTTAATATAACATTTAATGTGAAGTGACAAATACAACAGTACAACAGCTGACCAGCTGATTTACAGCCAGTGCTGCCAACGTATTTCGCGCGCATACGACGTTGCCTGCATGTTAAGCGCTCACTATTTCGTGCCTTCACGTTGCAAATCTGGAGTGAGACAAAGTAATTAGAGTGAGACAATGTTAACATTGTCTCACTGATGAGCGAATTGGCCACTTTGCTTTCTCAAATCAGTGAGAGAACATGTACATTGTTAGGTAACTGTAGGAAAAATTATGAATCCCATTATATTTTCAACACTCTCCTCTGTCACTACAATTAGTCCTAACATAACATCTGTTGAAAACGCAGACGACAATCCAGAGACCACGTCGGTCTGTCATAACCTGATTCAGTAGTTTACTTCCAGTCCTGCCCGCAGCAATGTCCTCGCATGAATTGATAGGCCTATCTGTAATCGTTTCGTGTTTTGTGTTAAATGTTTGTAACATATTCTGACGACACCTCCAGAAGTCGATCCTTTTGTAAGTCTGACGATGGTGTATGTTACATATGGAAGTCTAAATATGTTAAACAACCGCCAAAACATATGTAGCAAGTAAAATACGACACTACTTTACATATATTATTAAGGATTGTCTGACAAGATGCGTTTCTACCACTATTAGTCATAAAAGGCAATCCTGGGGCTAGCAAAATGAATTATAAGATTACTTCGTCACAAAAACCTTTTGTGCTAGTGGCAATTAAGGTATTTTGTGTATTTTGCCCGGCGATTTTTGTAGAAGGCAGCCTGGGAGTGGCGAGCAACAAGTCTGCCCTATTTCGTGACTCTCTGCCTATCATTTTGAAACCAGATACTTTTTGTCAAAGTATTATTAATGCTCTTAAAGCTGTTTGAATTCTTAAGCCCTGTAAAAATTAACGCCACCTAATATATATTGTACAGTTACAATACTGTGTTGGAGTAGAGTAATTCACAGAGTATATTGAGCACATGTTGGCTGACAATACAGTTTCTGAATTGTAAATTGAAAAACTTCTAATTTGTCCGTTAGTTAGATATAATGATGTATTGTTAAATGACTTTTCCTATTAAACATTTAATATTGATTATCAGCAGGTTTGTTTTTCTTTACCTCAAGTTTACTAAATACTTGAAATGAGGTAAAGAGGAAATTGCCAGATACATTGGCAGGTGGAGGGTAGGTTTAAATAGACGGCAGCATAAATTGGGGGGAACTACTCCTTTGGCTTGGGGGGGGGGGGGGGTTGCGCCTCTGGGTTTGGGGGGGATGGGCACCTCTGCCACCAGATGCAGGGGCTTGAGGGAATGATGGACTCATAGAAGTGGGAGTGCGAGGAGCTTGAGGATTCAGTAAATCAAGTACGAGGATTGTTAAGACACCTTTACCCCAAAAATTCAGGTGCAGTCCATGACGGGTGAATGAAGACCTAGGAATTGAATTCAAGGGTAGAAATAATGACACATGATTATATTTAGAGGAGGTGACTTTGAGATTAGTATTGATTTCATTGACAACAGTATTCAATGAGGGATTGTCATATCATATCTCAACGGAAGGCCGACTAAGACTACCCTCTTTGTAGAGACTTCTTTAAGCGTGTTGTCAAGATCTGTATGAGGTCCATTTTTGTCTTCAATATTTTTAAGTTACGTGGCACTAACGTTTTATTAATTGTTATCATATTTGCTAAATGTTCAAAAAGCTGAACAGATTGTAAATAAAATTAATTTTGATAAAAAAATGTGCTAGGTTTATTTATTCTAAAATTTTGTCATTAATTATGGTAATGTACTTTAAGGTACCGGTACTTTATAACTTTAATTTTAGCCCATTTTAACATTATGCATTTACATACTAAGACCATAATCTCAAAATAGTGCTAGATAAACATAAGTATACACCACCAGTCATTGTCGACCTATTTTCAATTGGTTATGATGGATGTAATTTTTTGGCCGCCATCTTGGATTTGCCATTTTGAAATGTGATCAATTATTTTGAATATGAAGGGGGTGTTGTGACCCATCATTTCGTATTACTTTTTTAAGCTGGACTCAATTCCACGATCCGTTTTTCATTTTTATTTTGAAATATTGACATTTTTAACACAGAAATTCCAATATTTCATAAAGTTGCCAATATTGCGGCATTGAGTTTAGCTTAAAAAAAATTCGAAATGATGGGTTACAACCCTCTTTGTATTTTTTATGACATTTCAAAATGACGGATCCAAGATGGCGGCCGAAAAAAATAAATCCCTCATAACCAAGTTGAAATAGGTTGACAATGACTGGTAGTGTATACTTATCTTTATCTAGCACTATTTTAAGATTATGGTCTTAGTTTGTAAATGCACGATGTTAAAATGGGCTAAAAATAAAGTTATAAAAAGCCCTCATAACTTTGGAATGGATCAAGATTTTTTTAAACCGTTTGTGGCATTGTAATCAGGGTAAAAATATAGTTTGAAATAATGGGTAACAACCCCCACCTTTACATGTGAAAAAAATATTTTACATCCAATATGGCGAATCGAAGATGGCGGCCGGAAATGACCACCTTGTCAAAATTAAGTACTTACTACCCAACAATGTTTGGAAGTGCTCTGGGATTGATATTTGAAAAAATGTAGAAAAAAGTTTGGGGGGGGGGACAATTAAAACTCACCCTGTATATAAAATTTAATCGGTCCTGAGTCTTACCGTGCCACCTATGGTAATAGCTACTTCCCAATAGGGAAATTCGCAAAAAATATATTCATGAATTTGAACGGATAGGGTTTTTGGCCTCTAGGTACCTCAAAACGAAAAAGTAAATCAGTCCCGGGTCCAGGTCTTACCATGAGCACTACGGTAATAGCTTATTCCCTATATGGAAAATTCGCTAAAAACAGGACAGACACACAAAAAGTCAAGTAGTCTAATTTGGGTCCGATTTTCATGAAATTTTGCATGATTGTGTAGAGCTTAATTAACATGATTTTGCGAACCAGCAAGGTTGGGCTATTAAAAAGAACGATGTAATGGGATTTAAACTTTTTTTTAATATATCTTTTTAATTTTTACCCCCATAAAACAGAAATGCCACATTTTCATAACAAACCCCTAAACAATTTAGTATGTTGAATTATTTTTGTATGATTATAGAGAAAATGCCAAAGAACTGTACATAAATAAAAGATGCCATAGCTTACAATAAGTAATCACATCAGTTTGATTTGACAAAAATGTTGGCGTGTTCGACAAAAATCTGTAATTTATATCAGGCCATTCTGTTGGACACTTAATTTAACTACGGCCATTTTGATTAAAACACTGATAATCCCTTTGATACGGGGATGTATTATTTAGTACCATCAACAGCCAAAGATAATACACACCTAGGTTGCGTTACTCCTTCAAATGTAATGATACTGTTAATGAAAAAGCAAAACACCCGAATTTCCATATTCAAATAAGAAAGACTGCACAGTTTCATGTTCCGCAGACAAGCACATCGACACCTGGCACCCAGGGATGAAGCAGAACATTTGGGAGTTGAGTGGACTGTTTGAGGGTGACATCATGGAGCCTCATGACGAGGTACAGGGAAGGAGCAGACCCAGAGGTAGAGTGCCAGTCATGGCCGAGCGCAATGGAGTCATTGACGACAGTCTGCGCTGGCCTGGGGGGGAGGTGCCCTACTACATCAGCAGTGACTTTGGTAAGTGTGGGGATGAGATATATTTCTATGAGTGTATTTAATAAGAATGATAATCTAGACTAGTAGCAATTTTTTGTGATTTAAATGCTTTTGGGCTCCTAAGCAATTAGCAAATAGCTGGATTGTGTAATGCAAAAGCCACACCTTACTTTCAGAACATTATCAGCTTTGATCTAATCCAGTGTATGAGGACAACTATGGATAGCGCCATAGCCGTCTCTAGTAATATACTAGAGATGGCTATGATAGCGCGCTTCCACTCCAACAGTTTACACAATAATAAATCTTTACTTAGCACAAGATATCCTGAGTGTAGTGATTCTTGTTTTTCTTAGGCAACACTATTGTCCCAGCATATATTGGCATTTAATTAATTTCTAAGGCAGATGCATACAAGAATTAAGTTTTTTTATAGTAGGTAACCAAATAACACATGGACTTTGCTTCAAATAAAATTGTAGCAGTTGAAATGTGCTACAAATAAATGTGATAAAAGATTAAATTAGTTGTAAAGAACGTTTTCTTTGTTAAAATGGTAGTTGGTGATAGTTTTATGAGATTGAAAACACCTTTTGGTTATTAGATTTGCATTTTGATGCCATGTACTACAACAGTTTTGCTAACTGGACTTCCAATTAGCCAAGGGTTCCTCACTAAAATCTAGTCCTCTATAATATAAGCTTGGTTTGATTGACTAGCTGATCCATGTACTATTATCCCCTTATTTCTTTATCTAAAAGTGTAACCGATTTAACAGAAATATATGAATTTATTAGGTGGTTATAATTATTATATCTATCTATCTAGATTATGTATCCATCTATTGATTATAATTTGTCCCATCACAAGAAACACCGCTGTACTTCAAACTCTTTAAAATTATTTTGAGGCTTTAAATGATGGTTTCAGTATTGCTATGCTTGAGAAGTGTAAAAGAACAAAAAACCTTTTCAATAACCCTTAAGGATTGTATCTCTCAAATGTACTCTCTTTTGTTTGTCGAGTTAATTTTACAGTTGGTGTTTATTTTCTGTTGGTATGAGAGAAAGATCTGTTAAATTCCGTAGTTAAGAATGTTTGAAATTAGAAACTGCATTGTATAGCTGGCTGATATCAAATCAACTATGAATTTATACTAGATTTATTACTAGAAACTGATACTGGTGGATCCCAAGGATGAAAAATCTACTAGGCGGTGTCTTTTTTATGAATGAAAATCATATAGGTAGTGAAATCCATTAACAGAGAACACTTTATTGAACTGTTATCGCTTTCAAATTCAACTACTACAACAGTTGTTTAAACTTTTTCAGCTAAAATAGGATGATAGTTCATTAATTGATTATATTAACTGATAATTTTATTCTAAATAAAACTGTGGTATTATTAATAATTATTGTTAGTCTTTGTGATAACACATTTAAACTCTATGGATCAGATGAAGACGAAAAATCTGTCATTCGTGGAGCGATGGATGAATACCACGAAAAATCCTGCATACGCTTCCGACCCTACACGAAGAGCGACTCTAACTACGTAGTGATCCGAGGGGATGCGCCGGGATGTTGGTCGTACGTGGGGATGAGAGGGGGTGGTCAGGTGGTGAATCTGCAAGGACGATGTGTCCAACACGGTGTGGCTATCCATGAGCTGCTACACGCCCTCGGGTTCCATCACCAGCAAAGTGCGAGCAATAGAGACGAGTTTGTCAAAATCCATTGGGAGAACATCAGACCAAGTACGCAACCTTCACTAACCTTGCTTTCAACAAGTGACTAAACAAACTTCATTTTAACACTATCAGTGCTCAATTTTTAATATAATGAAATCATTAGTAATGTTAGAGACAACAAAGTGGTAATTTTTTAAAGAAAAATAAATTTTTCAAATGAATAGAACTTGAATATTACATCCTCACAGAAACAAGCACTATGTGAAATCTACTGTAGTGAGAAAATAACGAGTAATGAAATAAGTGAAGTGCTAAACTTGAAGACACTGATTCTGTGTTCTGTGTAGGGACGAGAAGCAACTTCAAGAAATACAGTTCATTCAGGATCACCGATTACAACGTGCCATATGACTACGGAAGCATCATGCATTACAGTTCACACGCATTCTCCAAGAACGGAAAACCAACAATCACGCCCCTAGTGAGTGTTAAGTGATAGCTTCACAACAATGTGAAAACATCTGAAAGACAAATCCACCTTAAAAAAGTGCAACATCCTGAAATATCAGACTAGAAACAAATTACAGATGTATTGTGTTTTAACCCTTAGAGTGCCAGGCGAGAAATAAAAGTAACGCTCAAAAAATGCCGATGATTTTTCCCGAAGGTCGCGCTAAAAATGCCGAGAGCGATCTGGCGATTTTTAGGTTAAAATTTCGTAAACATCGAATTTTCTATATTTCGACCAACGAAAATCGAGGTATCGCATCTAGTAACTTTCGACTCAATGTTAATATATGGGTTAAAAGAATCCGAGTATCCATTTGGTTGTTATGACAACTGTTCGATCATTACGAAACGTCCGGTCAGCCGGACGTTGGCACTTTTGGCTCGTTCTAAAAACGTCCGGTCGGCCGGACGTCGGCACTTTTGGCTCGTTTTAAAAACGTCCGGTTCCCCGGACGTTGGCACTCAAAGGGTTAAATTAATGTTTATAAGCTGAATGTACAACAACTGAGTAATTCTTTTCAAATCTTGCTGCATTTGGCTATCAACTATATGATTGATTGTAGTAAACCAGTTTTTTGTAAAGTTTTAAATAAAAATGTATTCCACAAAGATATTGGAATCTGAAGAGAGAAGTAGAGGGGATTTTCATACCTGAAAACTTGCAAATATAACCTAAAAACAGCTTCAATTTTAATTAAGAGCAACAAATGTTTTCTTGTCAAACTATGTAATTTCCTAACATCTGAGTAGTTTACAAGCTACTTATAATATGTATCAGATGTTAATATACCTTGACAAAAAACTAAGTTATTTTTAAGTTGTTGAGTTATTGAATAATTTTTACAAACAGACAGTTTTCTCATTGATTAATTCTGTCGATGGATAAGTCTCTACTTACCATGCTCAACTGAACAGATTATTTAAGTCATTAGATCAATTGCTATCTAAAATGAAAAGATTATTATCCTTTCCGTTGTGCATTCATTGTAAACCAGTTCTCTACAGTTAAAAACATTGGAAGAACAAAAATGTTGTACTTCCATGCTCTCAAGCCAGTAGTAACCTTGTGAACGACCACACTTAAAATCACAGAAGTTGTCTCAACCTATCCATTTCCCTTACAATCACTTGCCCAAAAACCTGCATGCCTGCTGCTTTCTCTCGATCACCGCTTTATGACCTTACCAAAAGTCTAGGTTACTGAAGTAGACATCCATTCTATATGGACCAGCTGTCACCAACTTTTGTTCAAAAAGAGCATAATTAAATTTTCTGTTTCTTGCTTAGTTTTTGTTACTGAGATAGTTGATGTGCCATATAAGATGCTATGGCTTACAGTAAGTCGTCATATCAGCTTGATTTGGTTAATAAGTTGGGGTACTCGTCATAAACCAGTAACTTTTACATCAGTTAGGGTACTTGTCATAAACCAGTAACTTTTACATCAGTTGGGGTACTTGTCATAAACCAGTAACTTTTACATCAGTTGGGGTACTTGTCATAAACCAGTAACTTTTACATCAGTTGGGGTACTTGTCATAAACCAGTAACTTTTACATCAGTTGGGGTACTTGTCATAAACCAGTAACTTTTACATCAGTTGGGGTACTTGTCATAAACCAGTAACTTTTACATCAGTTGGGGTACTTGTCATAAACCAGTAACTTTTACATCAATTGGGGTACTTGTCATAAACCAGTAACTTTTACATCAGTTGGCGTACTTGTCGTAAACCAGTAACTTTTACATCAGTTGGGGTACTTGTCGTAAACCAGTAACTTTTACATCAGTTGGGGTACTTGTCGTAAACCAGTAACTTTTACATCAGTTGGGGTACTTGTCGTAAACCAGTAACTTTTACATCAGTTGGGGTACTTGTCGTAAACCAGTAACTTTTACATCAGTTGGGGTACTTGTCATAAACCAGTAACTTTTACATCAGTTGGGGTACTTGTCATAAACCAGTAACTTTTACATCAGTTGGGGTACTTGTCATAAACCAGTAACTTTTACATCAGTTGGGGTACTTGTCATAAACCAGTAACGTTTACATCAGTTGGGGTACTTGTCATAAACCAGTAACTTTTACATCAGTTGGGGTACTTGTCATAAACCAGTCACTTTTACATCAGTTGGGGTACTTGTCATAAACCAGTAACTTTTACATCAGTTGGGGTACTTGTCGTAAACCAGTAACTTTTATATCAGTTGGGGTACTTGTCGTAAACCAGTAACTTTTACATCAGTTGGGGTACTTGTCGTAAACCAGTAACTTTTACATCAGTTGGGGTACTTGTCGTAAACCAGTAAATTTTACATCAGTTGGGGTACTTGTCGTAAACCAGTAACTTTTACATCAGTTGGGGTACTTGTCGTAAACCAGTAACTTTTACATCAGTTGGGGTACTTGTCGTAAACCAGTAACTTTTACATCAGTTGGGGTACTTGTCATAAACCAGTAACTTTTACATCAGTTGGGGTACTTGTCGTAAACCAGTAACTTTTACATCAGTTGGGGTACTTGTCGTAAACCAGTAACTTTTACATCAGTTGGGGTACTTGTCGTAAACCAGTAACTTTTACATCAGTTGGGGTACTTGTCATAAACCAGTAACTTTTACATCAGTTGGGGTACTTGTCATAAACCAGTAACTTTTACATCAGTTGGGGTACTTGTCATAAACCAGTAACTTTTACATCAGTTGGGGTACTTGTCATAAACCAGTAACTTTTACATCAGTTGGGGTACTTGTCATAAACCAGTAACTTTTACATCAGTTGGGGTACTTGTCATAAACCAGTAACTTTTACATCAGTTGGGGTACTTGTCGTAAACCAGTAACTTTTACATCAGTTGGCGTACTTGTCGTAAACCAGTAACTTTTACATCAGTTGGGGTACTTGTCGTAAACCAGTAACTTTTACATCAGTTGGGGTACTTGTCGTAAACCAGTAACTTTTACATCAGTTGGGGTACTTGTCGTAAACCAGTAACTTTTACATCAGTTGGGGTACTTGTCGTAAACCAGTAACTTTTACATCAGTTGGGGTACTTGTCATAAACCAGTAACTTTTACATCAGTTGGGGTACTTGTCATAAACCAGTAACTTTTACATCAGTTGGGGTACTTGTCATAAACCAGTAACTTTTACATCAGTTGGGGTACTTGTCATAAACCAGTAACGTTTACATCAGTTGGGGTACTTGTCATAAACCAGTAACTTTTACATCAGTTGGGGTACTTGTCATAAACCAGTAACTTTTACATCAGTTGGGGTACTTGTCGTAAACCAGTAACTTTTACATCAGTTGGGGTACTTGTCGTAAACCAGTAACTTTTACATCAGTTGGGGTACTTGTCGTAAACCAGTAACTTTTACATCAGTTGGGGTACTTGTCATAAACCAGTAACTTTTACATCAGTTGGGGTACTTGTCATAAACCAGTAACTTTTACATCAGTTGGGGTACTTGTCATAAACCAGTAACTTTTACATCAGTTGGGGTACTTGTCATAAACCAGTAACTTTTACATCAGCACAAGTCTGCTGGTGGCTCAATTTAACTAAGTCCATTTTGATCAAGAAACTGACGACTTTAAAAGAGATTAAATATCTAGTTATATCGATAGTCAAGACCTTTGACAAAAATATGTTATTCCCATGAACGATTTGTTTGAATGTTCCCTAACAGATGGTTGTTGCAAGTGATTGTTTTGTCACAGGACGACGGAGCACAGATCGGGCAGAGGTTCGGTCTGAGCGACCGAGACCAGATGAAGCTTAACATCATGTACGGCTGCAGCGGACAGGACAGTGAGGAGAGACGGACCCCGGTAACTTGACTTTGTAACTCTCTCAATAAGTCAACTTAAGATCTAGTATTAGGATCATTTAATATAATTCTGTATGAGGAGGCGACAGCACATTTTGTTCTAGATTGGCATCATCGACTGAGCATTGTTTTTCTCAGCCAATCGATATAGTACATTTATTATGTTTGTTTTAATAGGTCTTGTTTGTGTCGTTATTGGCTTCTTCTTGTTGCAACGGATAGTCAATCGTTGAAACATGAACAATAGATCTCATGAAAAAGAATTCTTATAATGACATTATTTATTAAATATATTTAACTGCTCATAAAAGTACAAGTAGTTAGTAGGCTACCTGTAGGTATATAAAAATTTTGGATTTGTTTGGAACTTAAATCTAATCATATACCTAAATAAACAAATATGAGATGTTATCAATATAAAGGATGGTCCCAAGAACTAAACCACAAATTAATACTAGTGAGGGAAGACAAAACACAATTAAAAAAAATTAATTAAAGGTAGTAGCACAGCCAGATTTACCACTAGGCCGCTAACAATTAGAGACCTCAGGGGTAGGGCTATTGTACAAAAACAATTTTTTAGAACAAAAGTTAAAAATTTTTTTGTAATGATTTGCAGTGAATGCTGCTGACAATGATGCTGTCCCATTGATCGCGTGATGCATGTTCATGATTTTACGGCAATCGCGCGTGACGACGATGATTGTGGGGAAGTTTGGGTTAATTTGGCCGAGGGCTGCAAATACTCTAAATCCGGCAGTTGTAGTCGTAAATAATTAGTTAGGTTATGGTGTCAATTATTTAATGTGATGTTCACCTCATATAACCATACCTCACATAGCCTCAGTTCAAACAAGGTAGCATCCAGCCATGTACAAAAGGGATGATTGAGAAACACAAGTTTGATCATATAAATAAACAAATATGAGATGTTTTTAATATAAAGGATGGTCCCAAGAACTAAACCACAAATTAATACTAGTGAGGGAAGACAAAACACAATTAAAAAAAAATTAATTAAAGGTAGTAGCACAGCCAGATTTACCACTAGGCCGCTAACAATTAGAGACCGCAGGGGTACAAAAACAATTTTTTAGAACAAAAGTTTAAATTTTTTATAATGATTTGCAGCGAATGCTGCTGACAATGATGCTGTCCCATTGATCGCGTGATGCATGTTCATGATTTTACGGCAATCGCACGTGACGACGATGATTGTGGGGAAGTTTGGGTTAATTTGGCCGAGGGCTGCAAATACTCTAAATCCGGCAGTTGTAGTCGTAAATAATTAGTTAGGTTATGGTGTCAATTATTTAATGTGATGTTCACCTCATATAACCATACCTCACATAGCCTCAGTTCAAACAAGGTAGCATCCAGCCATGTAGATAAGGGATGATTGAGAAACACAAGATTGAATAAAATTGGTGTCTAATGTAGCAACTAAAGTATGAAATATTGTAGGGTTTGATTATTTGTAACCTTAAATGTAATACAACATTTTACTGTTCCAATTCTTCCAACAAGATGATCATGAAATAATATGTAGAAGAATATGAATATACACTGTATTGTATAGGGCGTGGCAAAAAAACCGATCTATTTTTCACAGCACTAAGGGTGTTGGGGGGTAGGCTTGTTGGAAAGCCTATACGATGCCATTATCTGTGGTCATAGAATAGTGGTTACCTCAGCATCGTGCTTTTGTTATCGAGTCGTTTTAAAAAGTAATGATTCAGTCATTGCAACTCAGCGGTATTTCCATGCATTCTTAAAAAATTAGGTCAACATGGAGAGGTTCCCTGTATGAATAATCAACTAAATTGAACAGATTAATACACATTAATCTCAATCTGTAGGGATAAGAATTAAGGTCGAACCTCAAAACTAGTTTAACCGAGTGGTCAGACATGTTCAAAGCAGATGTTTGTTTTCGGGCAGGCCTACGAGGACTGTTCCTCGTTGCACGGACTCTATCGAATGTTAGTTGTCTGACGACCGATCAAACTTTGGGCGGCTTGTCAGCTTCTTTTTTAACGCAGAAGCAATCGTTCTAATGTTGGTAGCCCACTACAAGATTGTGCCACTTGATGGAATCGACGTTGCCCTAATTTAAAAAATGCACGGAACTGCCGCTGAGTTGCAATGACTGAATCATTACTTTTTTAATTTGACTCGATAACAAAAGCACAATGCTGAGGTAACCACTGTTCTATGACCACAGATAATGGCATCGTGTAGGCTTTCCAACGAGCCAAACCCCACCACTCTCAGACGACCTGTTGCTGAACAGTGCGCTAGATGAAATCACAGACAAGGGAAACAAAGTTTGTTTCCTTAGTCAATGATGAAATACAGTAGATCGGTTTTATTGCTGCACCCTGTATTACAGGTACCTACTGTAATTTTTTTTTGTTACTTTTTCATCTAATGTGCAATACTTATCCTGTTTAACTGAATAAGATTTGATCGCAAATTAGAATATTACCTGTGCTTTTTGTAATGGGTTAAGAATTCTGAGAAGAATTCTTCTTTAAAATAGTTGTGAAAATCAGTTGCACTACCCATCTCTATTTTATAAAAGCTCATCTGAATCACTTCATTTCTACGATTATGATTCTCTTTAGCTCAGTAAAAGTAGGCAGACTGAATTCACCCTTAAAAAAATATTGATACTGTACGACTAACTTTCCTCCTTCAAGTCCCACCTCAGACATTTAAAAGCAGCAGAGCCATAGGCCAATACTGAAACTAAAATAGTCCTTTAGTAAACCTGCATACTAAATTATCTTTGTGCATAATTTAAGCTAATTTAGTTGCGTAAATGGTTTTGTCATAGAGGGATGAAAGACATATTAAAAAAATAGTTTAGTTTTTAATTTTATATTTTAAGTAAAGTGCCATGTTTTTACTTTTTCCAGGCAATGCTTTCGGACTCAGCTTCTCGCCCTTCTTCGGACTTTGACACTTCTTGGATGCACAGTTTTGATACGTTTTGGGACAAACCTTTTTATTATTTTTAACCTAATAATTATTTTATCGTTAATGTTTTGTTTTTTTAACTTGTTAAGTTTTAAAAAAAGCTTTCTAATATTTAATTTCCGCCTGTTTGTATTAAAAACCCTGATCATTTGTAGCGACCCGCTACAAGCGCAACGCGTAAAGTCACGTGACGCAACTAGACTAGGTGCGCGGGCAGTCTCACCAAAGCAGGCACGCGCGCCAAGGAACGACGGAGTATAGTGTAGTGTCGCGTAGACCTGCAGCAGCTGTACATCAACGTTCGGATAAGTACTAGGATTAAGACTATGACTAGATAATTCAGTAGAGGTTGGGGAAGGGTGTAGGCTAGGGTAAATTAGTTATTTATTATGTAATTTTAGGTTCACCAAATGGTCGTAGTCTGGTAATTAATATTTCAAATTTATACAATTAATATTTGAATTCACGTTTGCTAAATCTAGTTACTTTTACGAATCAGAATAAGTCCAGATATATAATTATTTCTCTTTTCATTATATATTAATTAGATGTATTAAATAACATAAAAGCTGGCTGTGATATGCAGCTAAGGTATTAATGTGCACTTTGACGAGGTAGTTAGCTTCTTTCCAGTAGAGTTGAACGACGACAGGAAATGTGTGTGATTTTGTAGTGGTAAGAGGAAGATATATAGGGCCCACGTATCTTCATTTACACACATACTACTCTATTTCACCACACATTGTTAAAATACTGAATTAACCATATGACAACCAAGAAAATAGATGTCTCACTCAGTCAGCTGACTTGGCCAGACTGTCAAATATTTCCAGTCTGGAAATATTTGACAAAGGCATTGCGTTCTTGACGGGTTTGTATTCATTGGTATAAAGTAGCCATTTTCGATAACAACTGATATAAAAGAAAATAATTGTTTCCCAAGCTCAAATTTAGAGCACTTCCATCAAAGATCAGCTGATTTTCCCTTGCTCTTTAACTAGTTCTCCATATTCCCAATATGCGCAATGTTTCTCGCTATTTTTATTTATAACTAGCTGTGTACCTGTTCTACGTATGGGTTGAATAAAATATACATTACAGTAGACTCCCTCTCATCCGGACTCCTCGGGACCGAGGCCAGTCCGGATAACAGGTTTTCTGGTTAAACCGACGTCCCCAAAAACGCGTTAAAACGGACTGTTTACTGTGATATTCAAATTAAATTTAGGAGAGCATGGTATTTAGTCACCTGATCACTGGTCTCAAATCTTTCCCAAGAGAACAGTGTTTCAGTACTGCCCACTTCCTGCCAATCTAGTCCGGTTTAAACAATGTGCTGATAAAAATTGTCCGGTTAAAGAGATGTCATTTCCGCCGAGTGTAGTCCGGTTAAAAGGTGTCCGGATAAGAGGGAGTCTACTGTAAAAAAAACTCAATGAGGAATCTTTTTAAGTCAAGTATAAATTCAAACATTTAATGTTCAGTAATAATAAAAAGAGTTATAACTAACACAATAGTAAGTACGGTGTATTAAAAAAATGCTATATCCTTATATATAATTCTGTAAGACAAAATTTTTACCAGAAAATTGTGGACGTCTGGTAAATCGCAGAAAAGTGGAAGAGGTCTTAAATTAAAGGTCTTGATCCCAGGGACTCGAGAAAAATAGCAGCATTCCCATAAAGTTGCCAGAAAACAAGATATAACGTAAAACATCTCACATAAGAAAAGCATGGGGACGGAAAAACGTCTGCATTCTAATCAGCTGTTACTTATTTATTTGCAAGGTTTACTTTACATTTATACCAAAAGTCAATGTTGTTAAATAATGTTTCAAAATGAAATGTATTTGTTTAATTCTTTTTGTTTTCCGTTATTATAAAGAGTGGTGAAGTAACTAGACAGGGTAGGGGAAGACCTGCAAGGTGTGGAAGAGTATTCAGGAATTTTTTTCCCGTTTTTATGATGAGTGAAGTAACTTGACAGGGTACGGGAAGACCTGCAAGACGTGGAAGAGTATCCAGGAATTCAACTGACACAAGAAATGCTGAAAGAGAATGTCATGTAAGGCCTAAATATAAAAGAAATTCACAAGCTGGTTTACAACCTGCCTTCAGAAGAACACTGGAAAATGAGTTGAGTGTTGTTTCGCACAATCTAGGTCCTCTTCACAGCATCACAGCACTTTCATGCATTGTGGTGCATTTCACTTCGCAGAGGAGTCCACATATGGACATTTCAACGCATGTTGCTACAATGGACTTATTATCATGCCACAACCACAAGTAAATGACGAACTAAGAAAACTGTTTTTACATGATTCTAACTTCATAAAAAAAAAAAAACATAATGCAATACAACATCGTCGCTTTCCGCTATACAAAACCACTAGTGGAAATAATGACAGTTAAACATAATGATAATAATATGGAATTTTACACAAATACAATAAAACATTTGAGAAGGGGTTTAAATAATTATGGTATTTAGATCTTCCCCTTCTTTCACCCAAGGTTTCTTTTGTTGATAAAGAGGAAGTGTGTAGTTTATCTGAGGGCATCCTCATACACTACGTTTACAGTCTGGCCACCCAGAGCATGAATGAAGAGGCTTTTGCTGGATCTCACACTGGAATACGCAACTTTAATCTTTATACAACAGCCCGTGAGAGACACATGCTGATCCACTTAGTTCCACGCCGACTGTGGACTGTGTCTTGTGATTTAATCGTCATGGCGAAGCAAACTGTGACGGGGAACTGTAACCGTTTGAACTCTAACGGGTAGTGGTGTGACTCAAGCGGGTGGTCTGGTCTTATTAATGATGATAATTCTCACACTGGATAAGATGTAAACTATATTTATTGAATAACTAAAAAGTGAACTGCCTTGTATAATAATTTGTAATGAAGAACTAACTTGAAGAATGTAAAAGTGTAAAGATAAACAATAAACATCAGTCTTGACCACTATTTGAAATGACATATGTAGTAAAGACATAGATAAAGATGTAAAGATGTAGTGAAGACTTGAGGGCATGCGACGCTCACGCTGTGGTCTGGCGTTGGTATTCTCAGCTTGCTCACGATGTGGTATGACATTCTCAGCTTGAGCTCTTTCTGAAGATTGTACTTCTGGTTGCCTTGGTTCTGGAGCTGCAACTGGATCTGGATTCCTATATATTTCTGCTCGTCTTGAAATCCTGGGAACATCAAACGACTGCGTTGGTCCGAAGGTTTTTGTTTTTGGCCTCTACCAGCATTGGGCGTAGTTGATTGATGTGCCTCTTCAGGAATTAATCAGATGAGTCGAGAACTACGAGCTGATGTCTTTTCCCAAGCTTCTTCTTTACTTGACCAAACTGCCATGTGTTTTTATTATTGATGAAAAGTTTGACCTGTACCCTCTCCCCCACATATAGTGAACGTGCAGGTGAAGACTGACTGTGTAGTTGAAGGTTGAGGTTTGTACGGAAAAATGGCATTCAGTCTTATCCTTATTTTTCTGTGCAGGTAGAGTTCCGCCGGGGAGTGATCACAAGCTAGCGGTGATGCTCTGTACCTTTGTAAAATATTTTGAATTTTGGTTTGGATTGGAGTTTGGTCAGTTGAGACTGCTTTCAGGCGGTTCTTTAGTGTTTGGATTGAGCCAACACTCAACCAAATCACCTCCGTTAATAATTGATTTTTAACGGATCTCTTGGCTAAACCGTTTGTTGCCGGATGCCCTGGAGCGATGAATTTCTGGAAAATACCGTTTGTTTTGCAGTAATTTTGAAAAATATCACTTTTGAAAATGGCAGCATTACCTGAAACGAGTACTTAAGGATATCCATGACATGAGAAAATTCCTTCTAAAAGATTAATTGTGTTCGCACTAGTAGGTGAGTCTTTGATGATTTTCACCTCCGCCCATTTAGATTTTGCATCAACACACATGAGGAAATATGTATTATCAAGCGGTCCTGCATAGTCGATATGAACCCTTTCCCAATTCTCTTGTGGTGTATCCTACGGATGTACTGAAACTTTGGGAGGGTTGTGACGTGTGAGAGCACATTTTTGTCGATACTGGGCCAGTAAACGAACACCCATGCCAAAGGGTGGTGATTTTGTATTTGTATGAAGCATTAAAATAAATTATGCACATTATATGACAAACAAAGTAAAATGAAGGAATAGTTTTTAACCAGTAATAATCTTGATGTTACATTACTGATCTTAAAACTAAATCTTAACCCCGTTCCATTTACTTTTTTAGCTTTTATGCATAGACCTTTATACCTATGCATTATTATCATAAACTAATCTTTTTTAAAACTAAACCCAAGCTTTGTGACTTTTTCATCTAAATTAAAATAATTAGGGCTTAACCCACTACCTTATACACAGCTATATACATACGTGTTGCATTGCATGTTGTTTTAACTATTTAAAATTCTAATTTGTTATGTCTCTTTATACTAAAGTTAAAGTAGTCTAAACAGCGCTATTATTAGTATTTTGTACTATGGTAGCATTTTGCACACCCGGCATATGGCATAGTGTTTAATTAGAACTAGCCAAAAATACTGCTTACTTAAAGACTGAATACAAGATGAATTGACCAAGAAAATGGCTTACCTAAGCCTAAGCATATACACATGTAAAAAAGACGAATACATGTTTTATAGTCTTGGTCAACATTCGGATGAATCCATTTTACTTTTGTTTATTTTTTACTATTTTAATTTGGTTCATCAATATACATACGAAACCTTTATATTATTTTCTGGATAATGCCACAGTTTTAAAGATGACAGTTAAAACTCGCTATCACCCCTTAACGACAGATTTACATACAATTGAAATTGAGCTATATTCTATTTATAAGCACACAAATTAAGCCATTTAAGCAGAACAAATTACAAAAAAATAGTAACTATTTCAATTTAATTTAAACAGAAAACAGATAACAAACTAGTTGCCAAAATATATAGTGTTTTTCTTACCTTAATATGAATCGTTAAATTTGAGGACGTAGTCACTGATGCCTTTATAAAATTTGTTTTTGGTAGACACAGCAAAAAATTGAACTGTACACTTGTTCCACCGTTTGTCATTTGCTGAAACATTTCCTTTATGCCCGGCCACAATAAAGGAAATGACAACATATCGGCTTATAATAAAAAAATAAATAAACTAACACGACCACTAAAACTTTGCAAAAACTAAAGGGATTAACTTGTGATACTCTAAACTATACATCGGCCCACAACAAAAACAAACACGGACGGGAATCAAAGTCAATGTGTCACTAACGGTCGACTACCTCAAGAACATTGATTAGGTGGACTGATGTGACAGATATCTAACAAAGGCAGGGATCGTGTCAATCCACAAACGGTTTCTACTGTGTTCACGCTGCAGCATTCCAGAGTTGGGGTGGAGTGGTCGCGTCAGGAAGCAGAGCTAGGGTCAAAAAACTGGCATAGCCCACTTTCTCTTTTCTCCCAACTACCCTTGTCTCTGAACGATGTACTGAATTTACATTTTTTTATTTTTAAGTTCTTGAAATAATGTAACGGAAGTAACTTTTACCATTACTATTAAACGTTACCAAGGTTTTCTTTAACGATTACCAATTACAAGTTACTTGTTTTAAGATGTAACAGGTGCGTTAAAGACGTTACTAAAAAATGTAACGATTACATAATTGTTTTGTTACTGTAATCGTTACTTCCAAGTTTGGCAAATGGACTATTTTCCAATACAGAGTGATGAAAAAGTACATAATGTTACTTTTCCGTGTTTAAACACGCTAAAGGGCAACTTTCCAGCCTATCAATACGGATGGAAAAGTACCTGTTTCTGTGAAGTATGGTGTAAAAGCATTTTTTTTTCTTAAATTTAATCCTATACAACTTAACTTTGGTTTTAGAGTCAGTTAACTAACTGACACCTTTGATACATTTTTTATCTACTTTTGCATGGTTAAAATGTTTTGGAAATTTTGTGGGATATTCATAAATTCTGGAGTTATAGCCAATCACTTATTTCACATGTTTGGGCCCCTTTTATGCACATTGGCAGCGGTTTGTGTATAGCCCAGCTGAAAACAAGCGCCTGTGAAATTCTCCAGTGACTCGCACCCGTGTCCCCACTAGTTTTTTTGTACCAGCCGTGGTAGGAAAATTAGTTCTGCCAACATTGATTTGTAACTCACTAACATTTGGTTCTGGACATGGACTCTTTTTTGATTATGGTAACCACTTTCCTGTTTAAACACAAAATAATTTATAAAACTGTTTAGTTTCCACCACTCATTAATACACATAAGCAGGCTGTGGTTAAAAATACAGTAGACCCTCTCTAATCCGGCACTGCATTACTCTGGCACTCCAGTAATCTGGCGTCTTTTGACGGGAGGTCATCCGAGATCGGGGCGAAATTCGGATTATCTCCCGCGGCCGTGTAGACATCATAATTCTCTCACGTGGTCATGAAAACGTCATCATCGTCTTGCGCGATCGCGGCAATATCATTAACATCTCCCGCGGACGTATAGACGTTATCATCGCCTCCCGCGGTCACGGAAACGTCATCGTCGTCAAGCATGATCGCGGCAAAATTACGAACATCTCCCGCGGACGTATAGACGTTATCATCGCCTCCCGCGGTCACAGAAACGTAATCGTCGTCAAGCACGATCGCGGCAAAATCAGGAACATCTACTGCGGACGTATAGACGTTATCATCGCCTACCGCGGTCACGGAAACATCATCGTCGTCAAGCACGATGGCAGCAAAATCACGAACATCTCCCGCGGACGTATAGACGTTATCATCGCCTCCCGCGGTAACGGAAACATCATCGTCGTCAAGCACGATCGCGGCAAAATCATGAACATCTCCCGCGATCACGAAAACGTCATCGTCGTCATGCGCGATGGCGGCAATTTCACGAACATCTCCCGCGGACGTGTAGGCCTAGACGTTATCATCGCCTCCCGCGAACTCTCGCGGTTTCCGATCACGCGAACTTCGGATACGTGTTTTAGTTGCATTCTAAGTGTTTTTAAAGATAACATTCCAGTAATCCGGCATTTTCACTTATCCGGCAGTATGGCGGTCCTATATCTGCCGGATTACTGAGAGTCTACTGTATAACTAACTTTATAACATGGTATAAAATATTAACTAAGCCTTGCAACATTAAACATTTTAACCCAGGAAATGGCTACTATTTGTTTCAATATAGCCTTATTCATACAATAAGATACACTCAAAAACTAATTTGTAATATTAATAGTGCCTTATTAGAGGGTCTTAAAAATATTTTGCTATCAAGTTAACTATAAGCACATTTGAAAAATCTGTAAGCTTTATTATACGAATCTTGATGGCGAGGTTTTGTGGTTTGAAACAGCAAATTGTACAGCAATAACAACATGTGTAACATAATGTAGGTGTATAAGGTATAAAACGTGTTGTTCTTAAACATTTCTTTTATTAATGTACGTACTGACAAAGGTACCGTATATACAATTCCAGATAAGTTAGGTCAGAATGAATTAGTAAAAACGGTCGAGGATGTTAACAACAGTACAAAATCTTTTAAAAATATATAATTACTGTATTTACGGGACCAGGAGGGTTGGCAGCACTTACAGGGGTAGCGCGGGCCACGCTGCTGTGTATAAATGCTCCCATAAGACTCAATGCATCTTCAACCACTAAAATCACACTTCCTAAGTCCACCTGTCTGGAGTAAAGAGCCGCTACTATGGAGCATAAGCACCCATTTGAGTTAATGTACTTATATAATTGCAGCGGCTGCCACTGAGCGACGGCCGCTGGTGCAAAAAAAAGCATTCATTATCTAGAAGAAAAATTGTATATTTAATGCATGACAGTAGAGTCTTGATTATCCTATACATTTCAAATGCACCAAGATCGGAATAACAGAAAGGTTGGATAACACGGTAAATAATGAAAACTTTAGTAAAAGTGTTAAAAATTATGTAATAATCAAATTGAACCCAAAATTCCTTTTATAAAAAAAAAATCAAAAATTTAATAAGAAACAAAATAAAAACATCACAACTGAAACAGTTTCAGATTAAGCAATACTCATTCATAACACACTAAGACGTGAGGGGTAGCAGAGAAGTATGCAGGTATAAGCTGTGACAATCTGTGTTGTATTTTTTGGTGGTTTAAGAAAGCAAAGGAAAAGTACAGTCAACAAAAGCATAAAGCATATATTTTTGCTTCATACGGGGATGCAATAAGGGGTCATTTTAACATTTTAACATATCGGCTTGGTCATGCCACGAGGAAATATCACAGAACTCAATCGTCAATAGGGAAGGTAGGATTATCCTGACTCTACTGTAATAATTAATTTTAATTTTCTCTCCCTATCCTTTAAACTTGGAACAAATTTGTTATAAATTGCCATTTAAAAACCCGCAAATGATTAAAATGTATAGTTTCAATTTAAAACCTGACTAAAAACTAATTAAATATCAAAGAATCCCCAGTAACTTAGTCAAAAATAAGTAGCTAACAATGTTAACAACAATTTCACAGTAGGGCTCACAGTCACAACAGGGCAATTCCTTGAAGGATAATTTAGGAATATTTTGCTACCCCTGACACTTCCTTAGTCAGATTCTACAGTCTGGATGACCTTACGTGTCTGCTCTCTCCAGGTAGATTATCACCTCACAGTGATCTGTGTGAGGAAACAGATCTACAGGGGTGACAGCCATGGGGACAAACGGGGCTCCTGCCAGAGTCTTGGACGCTGGCCGTGCCAGATCCACTATGTTCTTAACTGCACACTTCAGGTCACAGGCGATGTACGCAATCCTCTTGATCTTAGATATCCTACGCAGCATCACAACTGCGTTCTGCCCTGTATAGTATGTTACAAGCTTAGTAATACAGTAGAACCTCTCAGAATCACAAGAAAACGGCCTAAGATATAAAAACAAGGATAAACTAAATAAATATCAAATAATCCCCAATAACTTAGTCAACAATAAATAGCTAACAATGTAAACAACAATTTAAGAGAAGGGTTGCACAATAATAACTATGCATCTTAGAGAAAGGAAAGGAAATTTAAGTGACTTAATGAAGTAGCAAAGGGTTCAGGGTAAAGAGTAACACGTTTGCAACTGCAATAGTACGAAATTGTTCATTCACATGGACCAGCGACGCACATATGCGACGGCCGGTTTCTACCCATAGTCACATTAAAATAGACTGCCGTCGCATATTTGCGTCGGGGTTCTAATGTTATTAAAATGCTTATATCTTTGTAACGGTCTATTTGAAGGCACTGAATTCCCTGCAGTGGTCTACAGAGATTTCTGACGCAAAACTGTGTCGCTTGGTCTGTGGATATGATGATTGGTGACGTCATAGATAGTTGGAAAAACTGGTTTTTACTTTTCTGCATCACTGTATGTATGTATGCTGCATTATCCTATGTAGCGTTTATATTTGTCCAGTTATAAACTGTTCTTGAGTAATCTGTTTTTTTTTACTTACTTTCACCTCAAAACACAAACAAAAATGAACTGTCGCATATATGCAGCGTTTGGGCTATTTCAAGAAAACTATGATAATTTTCACTATCGTCTTCGCTATAGACCGGGCGTCGCGAATATGCGACATTACAAAAGGTTATAAAAAATACAAAAAAAAAACAAGAATAAATTATTTACAAACACGATTGCAGCGTATTACAATGTAAATGATCACTGTTTTACAGGTTTTCGCCCGTGGTCTGTGTGTACTGTTAACCAAGTGACAGCCGGTCTATGTGTAAGATTCAAATGTATACCTCGGTCTGTAGCAATGACCGCGGCGTCGCCAGTACGAACGTGTTAATTCTACACAACACAGACTACAGTACAAACACACTATCCGCCTACACTAAATTTACTACAAATTTACTGCTAGTAAACATAGGCAGTCTGTCATCGAAATTGCGAGAGTGCTAGCTGGGCCCTGTTTCATAAAACTACTAGTCCATGGACTAGTAATACTAGTGTATTTTACAAGTCTACGTTTCAAAAACCTACTAGTGTAAAATACTAGTTACTAGTGTAGGGACTAGTATTACTAGTGGTTTTTACTAGTGTAGACAAGGTGCTTAACAAAAAAGGACTTGATATTACACCGAAGGGAACTCTACAAAACCTGAATTCCTCAATGTTACTTTGTTCGACTGGCAACGAAGTATCTTTTACCCATAGAAATCTCGTGGCATTTCTATCAGGTTCGTGTAGTTGTAGTTGAAGAAATGCCTTTTCAATATCGGCTATTAGAGCAACTGCATTAAGTTGAAACCGTAAGAGTAAACCACATAGATCCTCGAGAATCACTGGACCACGATAAAGACAATCATTTAAACTGTTAGCCGCTCTCTTAGGCTTAGCAGAGGCGTCATACACTATTCTTAGCTTAGTAGTGGTTTTTGATTCGTTAATAACAGGGTGGTGGGGAATGTAGTGTGTGACTGTTGAGTTATCAATTATCAGAACCTTTTAAATTATACTAGAGGATACTTGATCATTAATAATGTTGTCATACTGTTCAAGTAAATTAGGTTTGTCTTCAAAACGATGCATTAGTGACTTAAGCCTTCCCAGTGATAGACCATAGTTACTTGGTAGATCAGGAGGGTTCTCCTTCCAGGGCCAACTGACCGAATCCTACCATTTTCCATTTTGACCGTTTCATTAAATGCACTTAAAGCTATGTCATCGTCATTCTGATAGGGACAGTCTTGGATTCCTAAACTCTCTAGGCTCCATAAGTCCTTTATATTCAAATGCTTTACTGTCTGGGAGTCAGACGGTTCAAAGTAACTTTTCAATTCAAAAAGATTAGTGGGCTGAATTGCAGTGAGAAAGGAGGATGAATATAAGTTGTCAATTTTATCATGGTAGTTGTCTCTACCACTTACAATCCAACCAACTTTGGAACCGATCAACTTTGGAACCGATCAGGTAAAGGCCAGACTTTAGCTCTATCCTTTCAAATGTCATGAGATCTAAGTAATAATCATTGCCGATTAAAAGATCTACTTCAGAATCTTCATTCTGATTTTTGGCAAAGATCAATGAGGGGTAGAGTGTCTTGATTTTACAGACATCAATTTTAGTGCAAGCATGAAATTTTCCGGTAATTTCTGGTACAACATTATAGTTAATCTTAAGTAAGTTTCCATCAAGTAGTTTAATACCGGCAGTAACAGTTTGGGTTTCAATTGTCTTGGCTTCTGTATTACCAAAGGTAAAAACTGATAAGAATTGTGCATTGTTAGACTCAAGTTTAAGTTTTAAAGCCAAACTCTTTGAAATATACGACTTCTGACTTCCAGTGTCACACAGAACTCGAGCAGGTTCAGTTAAGTCATAATTCACAACGTATACTTTTGCAGTTTGTAAAATTGCATTTTCGTTTGCTGAAATCAGGGAAGTTTTTTTAGAAAAAGTAGAGTTAGCAGAAGAGGATTCATTACTTTTAGTGTTTTTAGGGAGTCGTTTGGGACAGAGACTCCTATGATGGTTTGTCCTCTGTTTACAATATACACAAGGTTTGCTTACCTTACAATCGTTTAAGTTGTGGCCACTCTTCAGGCAAATAAAACAGAGACCTTTAACCTTACCTTTTCTTTCTTCTACAGTTTTATACTTCTGGCATTGGTCGTTCCAGTGGGCGTCTTAGCAGAAAATACAGGTTGCAGTACTGTTTTTGGTCGATGGAAGGGCCTGTGTAGTTGAAAAATTACCTTTTTCTGAGGTACGAAAGTAGTTTTCGTGTTCTGATGGTGAGATGGAAGTTTTTTTTGATCCCAAACCTAATAACAGTTGTGACTTTTCTCTAGCTACGATTATATTTCTGACTATACTACATAATTTAGTGGCATCAAGAGTATTATCTACATTGTTTTCTTCTACTTTTGTAACTATATCCAGAGGAAGTTTCCTCATAATCAGAGAAAAGAAGAAATTGGAGTTGGTATCTTCGCCTAAGTTTTATAGACACCTGACGTGCTTGTCAATAATATCAAATAAGTTTCTTAATTTTCCAGAGTCGTTAGATTTTAAGGGACTTAAATCCATCAAGGCTTTGTAATGCGAATTGATTATGAGTTGTCTGTTAGCAAATCTATCTTGAAGCAAAGATATGGCAACGTCATAATTGTCAGCAGTTAATAGTAGACCAGCAATGCATAGTTTGACCTCTCCATGCAAAAGGGAGTTAAGGTAATTGAATTTATCTACTTTAGTTAAATATTGCTGACTGTGAATGGCAGAGTTGTACGAGTCCCAGAACTCTTGCCATTTAAGAATGTTACCTTCAAACATGGGAAGGATCAGTTTAGGCAGTTGTACTAAACTGCTTGGGTATTCCAACACTCGCTCGGACGAAAGACCATTTGAATTATTAGCATGATCATTGATAGCTTTCGTGTTGAAGGCTTCAAGTCTTACCTTCAAGGTTGATATTACTTGCTCACTGTCAAGTACGATACCAAAAAGATCCTCGGCGTCGTCAGTACCCTCCACATTGGCTGACTCGTTGGCTGTTTCTTGGTCAATCTGTTCCATCAAGGCTTCTAGGGGAGCTGAATAGCCTTGTAGAGTTCCCAGTGTCGCTAGTTCCTCAAAGGGTCCTCAGCGTCAAGCAGTGTAGTCTCCTCTGCAAGGGTAGACTTCACATGTGCCATGAGAGTGGCGGCCTTCTTCCTCAGACGAGTCGTCATGTTCAAAGTACAGTTGAAGTTATAGAGTTAAAATTTGTGTAAAAAAGATCAGTTACGGGTGGATCGTCGCAGCTCTGCTACCATGTCGCGAAATTTGGATAGAGGTTTGAGATTTTTTTTGTCCAGTAAGAAGTTTAACTTGTGGAAGCATATATATATATTTAGTTCAGTAAAGTTTAGAAGTATAGTTTTAAGTTTCTTGGTAGTTTGTAAATATAAGTTAAGAATTGGATTAGTTTGATGGATAAAATTTAGTTTAAGTTAAAAGAATAAAGTGAACACCAATCAAAAAGTTAATAGTTTATTTACAATCACCAACCAAAATATCATCTGTATTGACCAGATGTAAATACAGTAGACCCCCTCTTAACCGACCCTAATGGGACCGGACCTAGGTCGGATAACTCAAAAGGTCGGATAAAACGGGCAATCCCTATAATCATAACATAATGAAGTGCTATTCATTTGGAATTATATAATCATTATTTTGAAGTCATACTTGCATTATTTATAAAATAAACTACTCTTATCTCCTTTTTCATATTGATAGAAAAGTCACTAATAAACACAAAACACAGTTAAGTCAAATAGGCAGACTTTCAGTGGAATATATTATTATAATACTAGGCAATAGTCAATAAAATTCCTATTTTAATAACTTTAATACTGTAATGTATTAATTGATGCTTTCCAAATACATCGTAATACAGTACAGAACCTTTTGTCAACATTAAAGATACAAGCGACCATTTTGTTACAAAACAGGACATTTATTTATAGCCTCTCACTGGAGGCTCCAGGCACAAAAACTATCTTGACCTTGGAGTTGTTAACCCCCTTTCCCTGCCTTCCTTACAAGTTGCGTTGTTTGTTTACTCCGGCGATAAGATAATCAGTTCTCAAAATCGTAACGCACTTTATGATGTTATAAATTTGCCGCACAGATAACAAATCAGATCAGATGTGCTCGAGCTACAAACGATGATGACAAACTGACAATAGGCTATGCTATATTTTTTGTGCTCAACACAAAATAGCTTATTGTTAGTCATATCCTGTGGAGATAAGCGTATGGTTCAGTTCTCATCGCTCAGCGTGGGAGCGGAAATGCCGAGATTCCTAGAAAGCGG